ATCTGTAAAACTGGCTGAGTTATTGTCAGTTTTGTGTTCACCAAGTTTGGTCAGCTGTGGCAGCCATCTTAAATCAGGTTGACAACAAAAGTTAATTATTTGTATATTTAAATTATATAATTACATTCTGGGGTGCTGGAAAATCTGGCCACTTGTTCATGAAATATTTTGTTAACAAACATTTTATGGCCACGCTGCCAGTTAGCCAAATTTAGCTTTCAGCTGCTGTTTTGTTGCATTTAGCTCAAACTTACACTTTTGACTAATTTTAGCTGTTAGCTACAGTTTTGAAAAGTCTGATTTTACCAAACATTTTTTACATTTTAGCTTTTATGGTTTCAGTACATTCAGCTTTTAGCCACTGTTTTTTTTTATTCTAGTTTTTAGTTATGGTTTGATTTTAGGGGGAGTGGTGGCACAGGTGTTAAAGGTGGGCCTACAATTGGAAGGTTGCCAGTTCAACTTCCCAGACCAACATATCATACCATACCATTTTATTTATAGAGCAATTAAAACAGCGACAAGGCCAACCAGAATGCATCAACATCAACATGTGGGCAGGAAAGGTGATCCCCACATCGTGCTCCACCCTCATTTGCCCCATTCTGGACCCTTGAGCAAGGCCCTAAACCCCCACCACTTGCTCCCCTGGGTGCCCTAGATGGCAGCTCTCTGCTCCACAAAGAGGGCTGTAGTAGCTCGGTGGTCTGCGGTTGCATCAAGAAGGGAATCCGGCATAAAAATAATTACCATGTCTCCATGTGAGTTGTGGCAACCCCTGAAAAAGGGAGCAGCCGAAAGAAGAAAAAAGCTTATGATTTTGCTCATTTTAGGTTATAGCTACAATCTTTCCAATTTAACATATCAGCTTCAGTTTTACTAAATTTAGTTTTCAGCTACATTTCGTATTTTGGCTACAAAGTATAATTATTAGCTTGTTTTGCTACGTTTGGCTTGACGTTGTGTTCATGCTCTTTTTGACTTCATAATTTCAGTTAACGTTCTTTCTTCATCAGATTTGAGCGGTCATTCAAAACTCAGCAATAAAACTAGAATTAGACAGAAAATGCAATTTCTTTAATTCATTTACATATTTCTTTGTTTCTGGTCATGCTGGAAATAATTTTTAGCGTTTATGTTCTATTACGTGACACTATCACGAGGATGAACTGGTATTTAAATTTTGATAGTTTTAATATTGTGATGCTTTTATTCCAATATATGTATCACAAATATAAAGCAAAAACTCCAAGCACTTTATGAGAATTACACAGACTATATCTGACTAAAAGAAATGCTGTTACTATGGTAACTTAAACTTCATTAGGCTTGTCTTCAGATCTGCTCAGAACTGTTTTACCTTGAAACAAATAGTTTTGTTTTGATTTTTTTCCCCTGGCAGAGCAATAAAGATGAATAGCTTGATTGCCAAACATTCAATTTGGCAAAGAAACAAAATTAAGAAAGAAAGGACCTAAAATACTCTGGTAAATCTCATTTGAAAGCAAACATTTCCCCAGAGCTACAAACCTTTGAGCTCTTCGAAAGGAATGAGACTGTTATCAAACACTCTATGCTAATTTTTACACAGCTAAAGGGTGAAACGTGCAGCCAAACTGTGCATTATTGGACACTATAGAACTTCTAAAAATAAAAAAGTGAAATGCACACAAATCCCAGAAAGAACCAAAGCTGCCTCTGGTAAAGCACAGCTCTCATTACATCACATTTAGTCTGCTCTGGGTGAAATTATGTTAGGATGAATACAAACAGAAACATTGTGCATAACCTTTTGATTCATGTTGCCTCACTTTCTCATCTCAGAACGTTTACCAACTAAATTCAAGCTTAAGAGATACTTTTTTTCCAACAAATGTCATCAGAGCAGAACTCACACAATGGGAGGGGTTCCGTTTTTATTTTCAGCAGTGTAAATGCAGCCACACATAGGACTTGAAGTATTATTTCTCTAGTGTTTATGCTAATATTTGCAATTACGACCATTAAATTCAATGGCTGGTATTCCTCAAGGAACTCTGTATGGCCCACTTCCTTTCATGCTAGAGATTTGTTGTAGAATGATGGAGCTATTTTGGTCTAATCTTAATTTTTTTTTAAAAAAAGGACAAATCGCAAGCAAAATTACAAGCTCTCCTGTAATCTGGTAGTACTCAGATTATGTGTTGGAAATGACGCTCACCTAACATCACCCCAAATTTGAGCTTAATACCCAAAAAACTGACTTAATTACAGACGTGTTTGTGTTTACTAAGGTTGATTTTATGTAATTGGGTTAACTGTTAAGTCAGTTGTAGACAGAAATCCTGTGAAAACTTTGAGTTTATTAAAATTTGTCCCATGTTGAATGAGATATTTTGCCAACAGAGAATGCAAACACAGACATAAACATTAAAATGCACGAAGGCCACACAATTCTTTGTACTCTGAGGTCACCAACAAAGTATTCTGGAGCAAAACTGTAAAAAAAAACAGACAAAAAAAAACAAAAAACGACATAAATCACACAAACAAAATTTAAGTTTGTTTTTCTTTTTGGTTTTGAGGCATGGACACCCACACACATGTGAATATGATATTGTTGCTACATTTAAAAAAAAGTTCAGATTTATACATTTGAACCAGGCAGGTGTTTCGCTATGCCCAATTATAAAGAAGCTGTCCACCATCTACCTCTACCATCTTCCCAACACCTCTGATCCATGTAATGTACACAGGCAAAGCACAAATCAGACAACTTATACCACCAAGTTCATGATTAATGATTTTTCATCTTCTGCCGAAGGTTTTAAAGTCTCACAAAGAGGCCAGCTGTGTCAAATGTAGTCATGCTCTGCCAAATATTGTACATCAGGGGTCCCTTGCTGACAGCAGCCTTCCTGCAGACTGTTATCCAGTCGCCTTATTATACTGAATAAATCCTTCTCATGTCAAGCACCAGGGCTGGATCTAATTCCAGATATGAGCCGCTCTGATGCTCCAGTGCTGGTGCAACATGGACCAAATGTGCTTTTTTTTTAGCATCGTTGGCAACACTGAATTTAAAGTTTATTGTCATCTTATTACCAATAATTCACCTCTGAGAAAATACGATTATAGAAGTTTTTAGATTCAGTGTTGAGAAACACAGAGGCAAAGCATTGCCATCCACATTATAAAAAAAGTCTAGGACATTTAGATATAATTGGATCTAAAGTTGGCAAAATTAAAATAAAGAAAGGTGATTGCATTGTGGCTATTCCAAAGACAAAATTAGAGGAGTAGTCTGTCACTGTATACCAGCACTGCAAAGGTTTTTCAAATTTTAGGCAACTACTTTTTTATTTATATATTTATTTGCAAGTTATTAAGTAGGCAAGCACAAGAGAGAAGTGGAAGTATCTCTTGACCATGCATGCTTTGAATAAATTGCATTGTGCACCATGAGGCAATATTCCAAGGCGGAGTAATACAACTGTAGGACAGTTTATGTTTTCATCCATCCTCCTGTCACCATTCATCTACGCCGTTGCCAGCAGCTTCAAAAACCCTGTTTCTGAGACAGAAGGGAGATGTTCTGCTCAACACCCCTGGCCAACACAGGCTGTCATAGAACAAACCACATTAAACAAATAAATACAAACTAAACAACAAACATAAAAGTAAAACGATGATCGCTGTGGATTCAACATTTAACAAGAAAAGACCATAGTTCATGCTTAATTATCCAGGTATAAAATCCAACAATGTTCAGTCAGGTCATCTGGATGGTTTCTTTTTTTGCTGAGACGTTTCGTCCTTCATCCAAAGTACTTCCTCAAACCGAGAAGCCACCAAACTGATTCCCAGTCATGCTGGAGTATGCAGTTTGTGGGAATCAGTTTTGTTTGGTGGCTTCTTTGATTGATGAAGTCCTTTGGATGAAGGACAAAACGTTTCAGAAAAAAAAAAAAAAGAAACCATCCACATGATCTGATTGAACATTGTTGGATTTTATACCTGGATATTGAGCATGAACTTTGGTGTTTTGAACCACCTTGGCATGACTGTCTTAGTAGAGTTGACGAGGGAGAGGGTGGGCACCAGAGGCCGTCTTAGCACCAGCAAACTGTTTTGTTTTTTTTGCAACATGGAGTATGCCGTGTGTGGGAATCAGTTTTGTTCGGTGGCTTCTCAGCCTGAGGAAGTCCTTTGGATGAAGGTGTGAAACGTCACAGCAAAAAAAGAAACCGCCCAAAGGACCTGACTGAACATTATTAGATTAACTAGAAAAGCTGCATTCACTGCAAAAACACTGTTCGAGTGTTAAATAACTTCACTAAAATTTGTGAAGAATGAATTGTAACTAAAACAAGCAAAAAAAATAAAATAAATAAATAAGCTTAAATCAGCTTAAAGTAAAAATGAGCACAACAAAAGCTGACAGGTAAATGTATCACAAGTGGTTAAGATAAATGCAGCAAAACCATAGCAAGACGCTAAATGAAACTAACTAAAAGCTAAATTGAACAAAGCAGCTAAAACCTAAATGTTAATCAATACATTAAAAACTACAATTAGCAAACTACTAGCTAAAGGCTGAACGTAACAAACGGCAACTAAAAGCTACAATTAGCAAGGCAAAATCTAAAATTAGCAAGATGCTAAAAGGAGCACAAGAACTCAAAAATAGTGCAAGTATTTTGAAGTATATTTATTTATGATGATGGGAAAAGAGCTCCATGTATTACAATGGGTAAAATTTATACCAACAAAGTTGAATATATCAAAAAGTATAAAAAGTACACATATTTATGGTCATGACACATTATTTCCAATCGAGTCAAACTTTCATGTATGAATGGTTAAAATAAAAGTAGTCCGATTAAAAGAAACTATCAACAGGAAAACAATAGGAATGCTGACTCAGCGTTCACAAAATAATACTCAAGAGTTGATTTTTTTTGTACTTTATTTTTGATATATCACATACAGTTTATATCATTTTGTCAGAATATGAACCAGCCCCAACTCTTCAACATTTATTCTCACGAGTATTAAAACAGAAATCAATCATCTTTAAAGACAAACTCCAGGTTTTCAGGCATCTCAGCCACCTGTTCATTAGCGTTCGCTGCCGTCTCTTGAGATGCAGAGGACGCTTTGGTGGCAGAGTTCTCCTGAGACCTTTGAGGAGCGTCGACGTCTCGCTTTATGTCCTTGCCTCCTCCGAAAACCTTCTGGCTCTCTGTAAAGTACTGATTGGGGTGACTAAGTGAGAAGGGTGCGTCCTCAACCTGCTCAGAAAAAAAAAGAGAGAAAGCACGGGAGAGGAAGGTCACGAGAGGATAATTAGCAGTTGTCAGACATGCGTCAGGTGGATTGACTGATTCAACGTAAGTCACCTCTCAAAAAAACATTTAATCTCTCCTTCAATGGCCGCGGTGAGGAACGGTTTACGGATTTCTTAATAACTAAACTTTCACAGACGTATCAGCACACATTCAAGTTTGCCTTCCAGTGAGTGAAACTGCATGGTTGTTGCTTTTTTTCTTGAAATTTACACTTGCAAACTTAATAGTATAAAAGGTTAAATTGCTTTTTCTCACTATTGTTAGGGTAAAAAAAACAAGAATTTGATGTGCGTACATTTTACTGTGAGGCACACAAATTCATTTTACAGATGACTGCAAATCAGATTATTCAGATTTTTTTAACTGCTTGCCTGCGTGGAGTAAATGAAAGTGAGGCTGTTTTTCTGTTTCTCTTTATTATTAATGTGTGAAAGTTGATTAAGTATTCACACTATTGTGATCCATCCATCAATCATCTTTACCCGCTTCTTCCTTTTCGGGTCACGGGGGTCACGGGGGTCACTGGTGTCCATATCCAGCAGTCACTGTGCAAGATGTGGGGGATACCCTGGACAGGTCTCCAGTCCATCACAGGGACACATAGTGACAAACGAGACAACCATTCACTCTCTCACTCACACCTAGGAACAATTTAGAGTTACCAATCAGCCTAACATGCATGTGTTTGGTATGTGGGAGGAAACTGGAGTACCCGGAGAAAACCCACGTGAGAACATGCAAACCCCACCCAGGAAGACCCCCAGCCAGGATTTGATCCGGTGACCTTCTCGCTGAGAGGCAACCGCTCAACCAGCTGAGCCACCGTGCTTATATTTATTTACGTTTTTAGGGTATTTCAGCAATTTAAGCATCAAAACATTCAGCTTGTTCATGACATCGGTGTTATGACTTTTAGTAGTGATACTTTTTAAACTTTTTGAAATATTCAGCTGTTTATCTGGCTAGTTTGAACATTTCGTGATCATTTTGACTTCTTTTTCTTTAGTTCAGCAAACATGTGCCCTTTATGCCACCGTCTGCTCATTTCAGCGTTTTGCTCAGTTTTTCAGCTACTTCTGTGCTTATTTTAGCTGATTTTGGCTTCTTCTAGCTTCTTTCCACTTATTTGCCCCCTGCCCCAAACTATTTCACTAATGTCAGTTTTCTATGCTCTGTTATGGTTCTTTCAGCTTCAACCAATTTATTTTTAGATAATATAAGCTAGAATTTGGTGTGTTAGTAGCTGTGAGTGACTCAAGCGTCAACACATACTGAAGACAAAATAAAAATTCAGTAACTACCAAACACACACTGAATTTTATGTCCAAGCTCTAACTCTGCCTCCGTGTGATGCAGGAATGTCAAACTTCACAGCTGGACACCTCATGGGTCAGCAATGGTGCTTAATGATTTTAAGTCACTGGGTCAAAGGTCACCTCCATCTTTATATGGCTATAATTTGATAATTTGGTAACATGGAACAGTCAAAGTTCACAGCATGGCACCTTGTTGGGCAAAATGTTTTTCTATTATTTTAAAAGTCATGTGTCAAAGGTCAAAGGTCACTCCTTACTTTAAACAGCTCTAAATTGGGAATCCTTTCACAGATGAATCTCAAACTTCACAGCAAGACACCTCCTGGATCAACAATGATCTCTATAGATTTGAAGGTTAAATTAAACTGTGTTAAACTGGATTTACCACAGTTTCACTACTTTTTCCTACTATTTTTACTTCTGAAACTAAACTAGTTCTCTTCTGCTTTTTTTGCTAGCGGGTCGCTACTTCTGGCTCTTAGCTAGCATGTTTTTGCTTTTTGTCAACATTTGGATTCTTCTGCCTCTAAATTAGCTTTTCTGGCCTTTTCTACTAGTTTCGCTAATTCAAGCACTAATCTAGTTATTTAATGCTCATTTGCTAACGTTTTGCTATATTTGGTTCTAAGCGACCATTTTCTGTTTTTTGTTAATGTTTAGTTACTTTTGACTCTTAGCTAGATTTTTCTGGTGACAGGTATTTGCTAGCATATTGCTACTTCTGACTCTAAGCTAGCCTTTTCTTGCATTTTTGCTTGCTTTTTGGTTCTTTTGACTCTAAACTAGCTTTTTTTTTTTTTTTTTTTGCAATTTGCAAGCATTTTGCTACTTGTGTGACTTAGCTAGTTTTTTTTAACTTGCGTTTTGTCTGTCCCAAACTGCAGTTATTTTGGCAATCAATTTTTGACACCTTCTTTGGAGTATGTGGCAAAACTGTACACCCATCATCATTCATCTCACTGTTTGTGGTGGTCCCTGTGGATACGTCCTTCATCAAATGCGAGAAGGATGTAATTACCTTTGGCTCTTTTCTGGCCAGGAGGCTAATTTTGTGCACCTGGAAGGACCCACCACCACCAGCATATGTACGTTAGATAAGGGAGGTGATGTACCATATCCATTTGGAAAAAATAAGATACACCCTGAAGGGTCTGCCAAAAGTTTTTGGGACACTTGGCAGCCTTTTGTGTCATTTGTTGAGAACGTGTCAATGCCTGTGTAGTGCATGGACTGGTCCGGTGTGGGAGGGAATTTTGTTCTGTGTTCTTGTTTTGTTGTGTTTTCACCGTGTCTTAAAAGCAAAAAATAAATAAATAAAAAGACTTTGTTTACTAGCGTTTTGCTACGGAGTCTTAGCTAGCCTTTTCTTGCTGTTTGCTAGTGCTTCCGCAAATTATTCAACTATTTTTGATTACATTTTCAACTGTTGATATTAAACAAGTATTTCAGAGATTTAAAATTTACAGCTTAGTTTCAGCTTCTTCAGCAGCATTAAGCAATAAGCATTCACACTGCATTTTCGCAGGAAATGATAATTTTTTTTAGTTAAAATGAGCAAAAAGCCACTAAAGAAGTGCAGCATTTGGCCTTAAATTTTTATATTAAAAATATTCTAATTGTGTATAAAATACAGCAGACCTGAATTTGTTCCATCTTTACAAACTAGTTCATTTTTCTTGACTTTGCCAGGCAACAAAAGCACATTTATTTTGTTACAAATCAAATCTACTCTTGTTCAATCCAGAGCTCGCAGAGGAGTTTTGTTGCCACAGCTTACAAAATCAGATTAAACTGTTTTGTTTTACTGTTTTAATATTCGTTCGAGGTTCAGAGTTCATTTCTACTAAAACAACTTATCTCCTACATTTATGCACGATTATGTGAGCACAGTCAATGTTACTTCTTTAAAATATCATATATTGCACTATTACATTTACTAAAAGTAAAATATTAAACAGATCAGAACAATTTTTAAAGTTTAAGCAGACACTTGGCATCATTCTGAGTAAACATGACCAAAGAATATTTTAAAAAGCGCTCATAGACCAAAAGTGCTAAAAATGATCTCTTTAATATGTGCATGTGTCATGTTGACCTGAAAGGCCTGAATCTGCAGGCTTAAGATGATCTGTTGTGAGTTTAAACTCGTGCTAATTTTGGGAGGATGACTCAGACATCCAAAGTAAAACAGATTAAATTATCCAAGTATCCACAGGGGACAAAATGGGGTGGAAACCCATAATAAACCTATAAAAATTAAGTGGCAAAGACAGCCAGCTAATGACGGATGTGATGACAGTTCTGGGTCTCTCCTGAGCCTTCGCGCACGAGACGTAAACTGTGCCTGCAACTCACACGTCTGCAGTTAATGTGCTCCAGATCAAATAAAATCTGTACTTACATGGTGTGTCAGCTCAAAGTACTTCTGGCACGCCAGCTGGTAGTGCATCCCTTTGACCAGCTCCATGATCTGCAAAATAAAAAGGCAAGCGACACTAAAAAGGTTCAGCAGTTGCACATTAAACACTGACGCAGTCCATTTGCAGAGAATGCAGTCAGAAAAATCGCAGACCTTCATTTCAGTCGTTTTAATTTGATTTTGGTCAAGGGCACACATGCTTAATATATCATAAAAGCTTTTGTGAATCCATCCTTTGCAGAAATGGTGCAAAAAGTAATAAAAGCATCCTTTTTCTATAATGCATGGAGGTAAACTGCACAGGCTATGACCAACATCCCTCTGTAGACACTGCTCTTCTTTGTTAACAGTGGAAAAACACTCCACACACGATGTTAAAAAAAACACAATTTTTCAGTCCAATTACATAACCAGGTGTCCATATCTACTCTTGTACATTTCTACAAGTAAGTATAATTGATGTCAAAATGTGGCTGAAACTTCAAGGTGAACGACCTACTGGGAAAAAAAATAAAAATCCAAATTTGTGCCTCGGCCTGCGTTTGTTTCCTTCATATTTTCCAAGAACCCTGCATGGCTGCCTCCAGCGTAATATTGCCACCAGCATGCTCAACTCTGAGGCTGGTGATAGATGGGTAATGAGCTCTGCACGGTCTCTGCCAGATATTCCAGTTGTTCTTTTATTTAGTGTAAAAAGAAGAGCGTTTGTAATATTACACACAGCAGATTTATAAAAAGAGAGCTGTACTGACAGCTTAACATCCAATTTAATTCACATAAATAGTCAGATAAATTAATGTGTTATTAAGATTTGTTGATTATTTATATTAGAGCATGTTCCAACCTGTACAGCCAGATACGGCCTTTGTTACAGTTTGGGTTGTCTTGCCAGATAAAACATTAAATGAACTAAAACTAGACCACCAACCTGAGACAGACAAAGTTTGTATCGTTTCTCAATATATTTAAAAACTAAGCATACTTTGTCCAAATTTGTTATGGAAATTAGTCAACTTTGAAGATGAGAAAATCAGAAGTTCTACGTGGAAAGAGCAACAACAACAAAATTAAACTCTTGCTGAACTTACAGCCAAGAAAAGATGTCAGGTATCTGATTTGATATCATGTGCACCAGAGCAACAGAGCTTTTGCTTTACTGTACAATTTATTTTTGTTTCTGTATTTTCTTTTATTTCAAAATGGAACATTAACAGCTGAATATTCAGATTTCTAGTGAGGAAGATTTTTTTAAGCTAGTTTGATGCATTATTTTCAAATATATTACTAAGAACTTAGTCGATGGTAAAACTGCTAATTAAAGTTTTTTATAAACTTGATTTTTTTTATTATCAACAAGTAAAGTGTTTTAAATTCTGTCTAATATGTCTTAGAAAAAAGTTATTTAAATTTCCACATAAATAATTTGAGACTCATATATGATTACATTTGAAAAAGGTCCATTTACATATTTTCTAATAGATATTGACTGAAACTAATCCCAGATGAAGACTAAGGTTTTAATTATGGCCTCCTGCGTAACTGAGTTTGACATCCCTGTTCTAGTATTCCAGTGGGAATACAGAAACATGTAAAAGATACTCCAGGAATTAGGTGATGCTATTATGTATCGTCTATTTTTATAGTTCAGAACTAACGGAAATACAAAGAACCACCATGGAGCCAAAGTAAAACGACTGTTTCATACTGTTGTCTAAAATTTTTTATTTAGACATTCAAAGAAAAAAATATCTTTTGATTAAACTTCATGACTTGCTGAGGCTTTTAAAGACATACAGTGTTTCTGACCTATTAAATGTATCGTCATCTAGTTTCATCAAACAGTGTCATTAAATTATTTTAAAACTATTTCTCTGTTTAGATGTTTATTCTGCTTAAAAGACAAATTCAATGAGTATCATTGGGCTTTCTATTATTCTAAATTATATCGACCACAAGTATATTTTCGTCCTTTCATAGTAGGGCTGGACGATATGGCCAAAACTTTTATCACAATACATTTCTTAATTTTGGTCAATAACTATATATGATATCTATATAAACAATATAAAAGCCTCAGAAAAACTGTACAAACTTTACAAATAAATTAATGTTCACCTTTTATTTGTATTTAGCTTTCAAATAAATTTTAAATCACCGTCAAATAAACAGAAAACTCTCAACTTTGTCAATATTAATGGTTTTACCTTTAAACAACAACATAACAGTTTGCTGCACGGGTTTCTCTTCTGATACAGCTGGGGGTGTTTCAGGGACACGTTGGCTCAAACTTTTATTGTGCTTCATCTTGTGACTCTCAGCATTTTCTATCGAGTGGAACAAGTTAGATGTGTTCCCACCGCTAGCTGGAACGACTCTCCGGCACATTTTGCAGCACACTGACTGAAACCTGTGGTTTATCGGATCTTAACTAGCTGAACCACTTCCACACCGCTGAATTAGTCTTTCCTCTCTTATCAGTTACGTCGTCTGTTTTCTCTTCGCTTGTGAAAGCTTGTTCAGTCACATTCTGATGGTCATGGGCACTTATTTTGAAGCAATACTTAACATGCATCGGAGATTAGCCTAGCCTGCAACCGCTAACACCTTCTGGACTCGAGCTCTGCGTAACATCTACGTCACCACGCACTTACGTAGTTGTGTCGCACCTTATTCTGTCCGGGTTGAAACTGAAGCGGCCGCTTCAACCCGAACAGAAAAAGAAATGTGTCAGTGAAACGCTGTAATTATATCGAAATATCAAAAATGTGCTTAAAACTCATATCACCGTTATTGAACAAAAGTATATTGCGACATATCGTTATGGAATTATTGTCCAGCCCTATTTCATAGTGTACAAACTAAAGTTTCCATGTTCAAAACTACCATATTTTCTGGACTACAAGTCACTTTTTTAAAAAAGTTTGGCCAGTTCTGTGACTTATAGTCCAAAGCGACTTATTTACACTTTTTCCCTATTCATGATGCAATTTTTGACTGACGCATTAAATGTTCATTCATACTGACATAAACCAAAGAGTAAACATTACCATTTGCAGCCTCAAAAGGGCCCTCTAGGATTTTGACAACAATATTTTATTCCTCTACCGCTAACCCCCAAACATTCACTTAAGAGACAACTGAGAAAAAAACACAAGTAAAATGCCCCCAAAAGGCAGAGCTGTTCAGAAGCGACACAGAGGATAAAGAATTCAATGGATTCAGTGATGTGGAATGAGATTGGTGAATTTACCGGTAACTTGCTTGTCGGACTCGTTGGCTTGTTATGTTAATTAAGCCTGTTCAGGATCACTGGTATGTTCTCTGTGTTATTTTAGATTAAATGTCTGTTCTTGCACTTTGTGAAATACACTTCTAAATAAATGCAACTTGTACTCCGAAGCAACTTATATATTATTTTTTCCTCTTCATGAGGCGTTTTTTTGGACTTATGCAACCTATACTCTGGAGCGACTGATAGTCCGGAAAATACGCTAATCCAGTGACAGCTTGTTTCAAACGTGTTATATTTATTTTTGCACAAAGCAGGGTATGGAAACAGCAACTTCAGTTTTAAAAGAATCGACCGTATAAATCTGTAAAGCTGATTATAAGACCAACCAGCTGTTTTTCCTACAGATGTAACAAAATTGATATTAATCAGCATTGACAAATAATTTCAATTTGGCTAATGCCAATAATAATCATAAAAAATGTTCAAAAGTTCCTTTAATTTCACTTAACCGATACTTAAGTTTTTATTTTCAGTTAGTAATTACAGCATTTTTGTTCTCTTGATTAGAGCAATCTTACAACAGTCTTGCTTCCTCTGCCTTCATCACTCAGTTTGTTCTAAATGAGTAGACGCCTGGTATTAGTTACATTTGAAAGAATCAGACAATTACACCCAGATACAGTATGTTCCCTTAAAGCTCGGCTTAACCAGCAATTTCTTTTAGTTACAAACTTTATTAGCCTTTAAACAAAACATCTGATATAATTTATTGATTATTCATGTAGGGACAAGTGCTTAGCATTAACATATATCATACTCTAACATTTATAGCCTGGGTTATTTGTAATGCACATCCCTAGAAGGACCTTAGGCAACATAGAACATAAAAAAAATTATTTAAAGACACAATTTTTCAACCTGCTCAGCTACTTCTTTGATGTTTGGGAAAAGCAAAAGTGATGCATCGCATGATTTCCCCGGTCAGAAGCAGATAATTACGTTCAGTGTGGCCATAGACAGCAAAGGAACCCACCTGACTGACTCCACTGGGAGACACTTTATACACCTGAAGCTTCTGCTTCAGCAGCTCTGGCTCACTGTGGCGGAATGGGCATCCTAAAATTATTAAAAATGTTATTAAAATAAAGATATATGCAAATCCACTGTTAACACAGCATTAAATCAGATAGATGGAAAGAAACTCAAAGATAGAAAAGTCTACAGCAGAAAATTTGATCCGGAGTCATTTCTGTCACCATTTCCAAGCCAATACTTCAAATTAAAAGCTTGATTAAAACAGATGAACTGCGTCTTTCTGTAGCTGTCTGCTTACCATGAAAGTCGCCTGGACCGGGTGGGTTTGATAAAATCACCTTCATGCAGCTGTAAGGTGTGTAGTCTGCTCGCTTGCCTTCTTTGCCAAACATGTGGCGGATGCTGTAGGCATATGCTTTGTCAAACTGCACAGAGGAAAAGAGGGAGGACAGAAAGAGAAGACATTAGTAAAGATGAGAGCATAAGAGGGACAAGGTTGGGGTGAAAGAGACATTGTCATACATCATGTCAGACTTGACAGGGAGTTTTCCTAAATGAAATATAGAGCTATTAAGAGGACCTGCTGCAGATGTGTCGCCACACTTGAGATAGCTGCTTTACGTATAATTTAATGAGGCCATTCTTCTCTGTACTTTTGCCCCTTGTCCTGCTGAGCACTCTGACACAATTTTAAAAAGAGCACTTTAAATCAAAGACTAAGTGGAGGTAATTCCAATAGAATCTAACAGCTTTCATGTTTATTTAACAGGGACAATACACATAATAAGCTGTTCCAGAAACACTGAAAAGCTCATTTCTATCTGCAAACTTAAGTAGACAGAAAGCAGCCATAAAAACACGGCATGCTCTAATTTAAAATTCAAGAGAAGTCACAAAACAGCCCCAAACAAACAACAGAAACAATGTCCATCTTTAACATCTTTAATCTCTAGTAGAATCAAATTGGATGAATACAAACACTCAGTTCAGTGAGCCTGCGACTGAAAGTTCTTGTGAATTTCTCACAATTCTGAGTCGCCAGCAGGTATTAGATTATTAGAGATATTAGAGAACAACATACCATAAAGAAGTTGCTGAAAGTAATCCAGTTTTAAAGTTGCTAGATTTGCTAGTAGCCAAGCGATCAGGAAGCCATGTGGACGGCAATAAATAAATTAAAAATCATAACTTATTGTCATGTGCACAGCTTGTAAAACTGTATTTTAGAAGGTGCACAGGATTTCAGTGCCCACCTCCACCCACATTGGCTGGCTTTGTAGCCACCTTGGTAGCCAGCCACATTTTCATTTAGTACACCTTTGAAAGATGATAGGAAGATTTGTTCAAGTTCAAGTTTATTGTCAATCGCATCACATGTGGTACATGAGGTGGAACAAAATTGTGTACTCAAGGTCCATTTACACCCTAAAATAGCAAAAATATAAAGTATAAAAAGAAACCCTATATAAGGATTTGATCTTATACACTAAGACATATGCTAAACAATATACTAAAAAAAAAAAAATCTAAGATATATGCTAAACACTAATAATGCAGTATATTAAACAGCAGCCCGAACCTGAGTCTGTAGTGAGCAGATGGGTATGAATGAATTAAACATTAGGACTGGTTTTTCAGTTATTATTGATCATCTGTGTAGTTTTTAAGACATGGACATGTTTTCTATCAGAGGAGAGCTCTCCTTCAGGTGTCAGAATACAGCTCCGGCACTCTTGTGACTGACTGGAGACGACACAACAAAATAGAGAAGGGTTTGGGACAGGTTGGAGACATTAGCAAGGACTCCGAAAAGGACAATTTGTTCCATTTAATTTTCGAACAAGCTCTAAACTCAATCAAAAAGCTTGCACGCCTCCACAACTCACGCAAGTAGAAACATTTTGCTAATGTTTCAGAAGACTTTGTAGAGTCCCTTCTCAAAAGTAGTTTGCCAACTAGTCTGAAGCCCAGTGATAAACTGACTTAAAACTAATACAACCCAGCTGACTAAAATTTAAAAAAGAACAAGGCGTGCCATTTACATTTGCTATCTTGATCACATTATTACCACCGCCAAGGAGATTATGCTATTGGTAGAGTTGGTTTGACAGTATGGGTCTTGGTGGAGGTATGTGCTCTCCAAGTGCTTCTAGTTGAACCTAGTTTAATCTGCATTGCAGAGGTTTAGTAACTTTTAAGTTTGGAAGTAACTTGAACGTGAATTTAGTTTTTTCTTTAGGTATGAGGGAGACTGTGACTGGTTGTTTGTTTCGCTTGTTTCTGTGATGGACTGGCAACCTGTCCAGGGTGTACCTCAACTCTTTCCCATATGGTTACAGAAGATGAGCACTAGCTTCCCACAACTCTGAACAGGAACCAGCAGAGAAAGAAAATGGATGAAAAGATGGATATTTTCCTTCAAACAGAATAAAAATCAGATCTGAATCTATGACTTGTTTTATTTGAAGAATGGAGATTTTACCAAATGATCCAGATGAACAATACGTTTGTGGAAGAGTATCCAAAGGGAGGAGAAATAATATTCTAAAGACCAAAAAAATTGCTAATGCTACTAATGAAAAAAGTGACTAAATCCGTTTTGATGACTTTGGCATTTGCAGCTTGCTGACCAGAAGGAAACTGGAAATGTTCATTGAAAAAATAAATCATTATAAAAACAGTATTTGTGTGTGTGCGTGTTTTGTTTTAACTGAGGCATTCTGAATGTAAAATGGGAGAAACAAAAAGATGCTCAATCTCTCAGTGAATACATTCATAAAATAACAAAGGTTGACTTCATAAACTCACAAGAACCATTTTTTCAAGCTTAATACAAGTTTTTCTTAAAGGAGTCTGATGGCTTTGAAGATCTGAAAAAAATTAAATAAAGCATGGACATGTTTTAGCTCTACATTGCAGTGTTTCCCCTATTATCCAAGGACGCCCCACCTTGTCAACAAAACCGAGAAAACCGAGTGCCTTGCCTACCAAATCCTGCCCCCCCCCCCCCCCCACAATAAAAGCAGACAGCTCCGTTACTTCTGGATGGTACTGTAACGCTTCACTTCTCCCTACTTCACTGCAGGTAAAGCACTGATTAGGACTAAAAAAATTAATGAAACCTCTCTTCAAAGATGTAGAATAATCCCTTCAATCTTTTTAAGTATTTCTATAACAAAGTGTTGAGCTTTAAATAAAATCAATTTATGCAAATCTTCCATTTTCTGGTGTGGAAAAACCTTGAAAACGAGCTCTCAATAAGCAAAACGTACCAAACTTGTGTACATACAGTTTAAAGCGCTGAAATGAAGTGAACTTTCACATCAACAGAACAATAGTTTCTCATACAGTTTAGAAAGGGATCACATTATATAATCTTACGCAGTGAATCACATTTGTTTCAGTCATTTTGCTACACAGTTCAAATACATATCAGTGACCCTGCCTCTTACAAAAAAACCCAAAGAAATCCACCCAGAGCGCTCTGACATTGGCAGACTATAATCACGAGGACTGTACCCCACACACATTAACGTTGCAATAAAACCCTTGAACTTCCTAATGTGACAAGCTGCAGTAGCAATTTAAAAACCCATCAAATCTTCTTTAAGTACAATAAATCAGATATTAATTATGCAGAGCTTCAAAGGATTCAAGAGGCCACTTCCTGATTTAAGACCTCCTTACTATAATAAAACAACATGGAACTCCACTGGCATTAAAGTGTGTTTAATTTGTATTATAGGAAATAATGTGGATATAAAAAAAATCCAAAGTGATTGGAAGTAAACCAAAGACAAAGATGAAGTTAAATGAAACTTTCTGTTGTTATAAAGTGGAGATCAACAAATGAGTTTGTTATGTTTCTCTCTTTCGCCTTCGATGAAGACGTTGCTCTTACCCTCCCTCTTGCTTTTTTGCTCTCTTGGCCTGTCAACCTCTCTAAAGAGCCTCTCTTTACACATCTTCAGAATTGGAAATTATTATGGATTTGGTCAGCTGGTCCCTCAACGCAATTGATAAAATTGTTTCCACCAGACGACAGGGTGCTGGAGAGCCCTCATGCCCTGAATGGACCCACGCAGCCGAGTATGTCATTGATTCCTGGGGTGAGTGGAAGAAGGTGTGCCTAACTGTTCTGTCCATGGAGGACGTAGAAGATGTGTACATTATTCAACTTATGATAACAGGGTTTCTGCTTTTTAGAATCGCAGAATATCTTGGATATCGACAAATTAGGAAGACGTTGGCAGCAGTTTTGGCCATGGTAAAGCTGCCAGCCTTATGTGAAGGATTAATTTGTGCTTCTATCGCTCAGACTCATGCTGAACTCAACCGCAAGCTGGACGCAACTGGAACTGGAACTCACCAGCATGAAGGATTCAATCTTTGAGAAAGCTAATTGAGCACGGACCTGGTGGAATGTCCACTAATTCTGGCTGTTTGGATTCACCATCGAGTTTACCAGCAGAACTTGAAGTCAGACAGAAAAGAGAGGCTGGTGGCCCCAACAATTGTTGCTTATCTGAATTTGGCCTCCCCGCTGGCCTTGGACAGGCCAACTTATCTCAAATTGCTCCTGGAGGATACGTAAACTAGAAGCTTTCATTGTTATGCTGATGACACACAATTATATTTGTCCATTAAACCCAATGAATCCAATCAGCTACTTAGGGACTACAAGCATGTCTTAAAAACATAAAAAACCTGGATGACCCTTAATTTTCTCCTGTTGAACACTGAGGTTTTGGTTTTTGGACCTGAGCACCATAGGAAATAATTGTTCAGTCTTTCTCCCTCCTTAGATGGCATTAATCTATCCTCCAGCTCTAATGTTAAAAATCTTGGGTGTTATTTTTGATCAGGACATGTCTTTTATCCCCCACATTAAAAACTTTACTAGAACCACCTTCTTCCACCTGCATAATATCACTAAAATTAAAAACATCTTATCTAAAAATGATGCAGAAAAATTGGTCCATGCATTTGTCACGTCTAGACCGGACTATTGTAATGGTTTATTATCTGGATGTCCAAACACTTCTTTAAAACGTCTTCAGTTGATCCAAAATGCTGCTGCCAGAGTCTTAACTGGAGTTAGTAGGAGAGATCATATCTCTCCAGTTTTAGTTTCTCTCCATTGGCTCCCTGTCAAATCCAGAATATAATTCAAAATCCTACTTCTAACCTACAAAGCTCTCAACAACCTAGCTCCATCTTATATTACAGATTTTATTGTTCCATATTTTCCTAACGGAGCACTTTGCTCTCAGACTGCAGGTTTACTTGTGGTTACTAGAGTTTACAAAAACAGAATGGGAGGCAGATCTTTTAGTTATCAGGCTCCTCTCTTGTGGAACCAACTTCCAATCTCTGTCCGTGAGGCTGACACATTATACAGTTTTAAAACTAGGCTTAAGACTCT